TTGTCCTACAGAGACACCAGGACTTGTCCTACAGAGACACCATGCTCCTGCTCATTCATAGCAGCATCCCTCCTAGCACACACCTTTATTGTTGTTAGAGTGTAAATTGCTTAGAGGGCGATTCGGAAAGATACACGCAAATAAGAGCAGACTGCCACATGTTTCCTGCAGAGCCACTGATGGGTTCCAACTCATATTCTTTCTGCTAGCAGCCAAGCACTTGGCCATGCACCACCAGGACTCCAGAAGGGACATACTGGCCTCCAAAGCTCACTTCTAGAATTGTAATCCTAGGAGAATGAGGAGGATAATAGCTCGACTTCATTATGCACATACTGGGAACCGGGTCTTGAATCCTCATAGCTTTCGGCTAGGCACTTTTTCTCTACCCATTTTACAGATGAGCTCTGGTGCTACACGGTTAAGTCTTGCCTGCTAAACAAAAGGTTCTCAGAACCCACCAGTTGCTCCTTGGCAGACAGATGTAACATACACATCTGCCTCCATAAACATTACGATTCTGGAAACCCTGTGGGACAGTTCTTCTCTGTCCTGTCGGGTCACTGTGAGTCAGAATTAGCTAGATGGCAGTTGGTTTGGGTTTACAGGTAGTGGGTTTACGCTCTGAGGCAAGTTTGTGGACCCATCTCAGACCAGTAACCCAAGCTCGTGGGTAGACGCTGGTCTATAAACCAGACCCTAAGTACAACTGCTCCGGGCAATTTTAAGTGGGAGATGGAAACTATTCCTTATATGTACATTTTCAGGTACATCACAAAAGACATCCCTGACTAGATTGATTTAAAACAAAACACTAAGCAGAACATATGATTCAGAGAAAAGGCAGAACCGATGAGGGCCTGGTGTGATATGATCTCCAATGTCAGGAAGATGTCATGAGCATCTACCCAGGGCTGAATCCTGTGAGGCAGGTCAGACATGCCTCCTTCCTCTAGCCTTTCTACCAGTTCTAAGAGCAACTGTTACTACCATAGTACTCTTTACTTTGGGTGGGTCAATAATTCATTGCAGTGGTCACACAGAAATTACAGGTAACTTAAGTTTAGAGGATTTATTAGAAAAGTAACAGGTCATATAGAAGTATAGCCAGAATGTTCCTTAGACACCAGAATGATGAGACCTCATCTTCATTCTTCAGACAGATTATCAGGAAGAATCAGTTCCTGGAGAGGGACGTCATGCTAGGCAAAGTGGAAGCAAGGGGTTCCAACTTAACAATTGTGGGGTTGGCCCAGGACCTGGCAGTGTTTTATGTGAAACAATAAATTTCTGTTTGTTCAAGAAGTTTCTAAAGCCACCCAATTACTATTATTAGTGTTACAGCAGTTCTAAATTCTAGAATGTTACAGCAGCTCCAGATCCATCGTTGTAGAAACCCAGGCCACTCAGAGCGGTGAAGCAAAGTTTCAAGTTTACTAAGCTGGCTGGCTCAGAGGAGGTAACTTCTCCAGATTCTGAGCCCTGAATGCAGGTCAGTACTGGCTTATATGGGGTCAGAATCAGGGAGGGGGCTAGGTTGCGGACCTGTTTGAGGACCTGTTTGAGGACAGGAGGGAAAACAGAGGATTTGTCCGGCTCGGTGACCTGATTAGCATTCTAGCCTGTCTCCTGGGCGAGGAGGATTGGGCCACTCAGTAACCTGATTAGCTTGTCTTCTGGGCGGGGAGGAGGCAGTTAATATTTTACCTTTCCTGTTCAACAGCAGCACTAGAGAACTAACACAGGGATACAGAGTTAAAAATGCACTGCCATCATCTTCAGCATGGCCCTCATTCATCATCCCTGTCATTCATTAGGTTCTGACACTGAGATGGGGATTTCTGGGTCCTCTTACTGTTCCTTCCTCCACCAAAAGGGACCAGGTGCTTGTCTCAATCAGTAAAGTCTTTGTTTCCTATTTCAAAGAGGTATTTGGTCAGAATGATCCAGGGACCTTGGGGCGGGTGTGTGTTTATTACTCCAAATTTGGGTCCAATGCCCTAGAGCTATTTGGTTCAATTAACAAACACTCCAGATAAAGGAAAAGCCTTTATTAGGAAATTGGGCAGTTTTCAATGACTATGTCTTACAAGCAATACTTAAACCTGTTTTAACAATGTTAACATGTAGGTGGGCTACACTCTTAGCTCTCTAGCATTTGCACCAATTTGCAAGGTAATCAAATGTCCTGATAAACATCTCAGAAAGGAGTATCTGGTGACTGTTTGGATGGTCATCAGAAGCCAAACAGAAAGGGACCAGACTTCAAGCCTTGGCAACCATGAACATAAAACCCTATCTAAGAAACAAGATGTCTGTGAGATGCCCCTGGCAGCACTTGATTGTTCTGTTAAGTTCTCAAACTGGCTACCTTCCTGCTCTCGGTGGGGCAAGGGTGTGGAAGGGAGTGGGTTTCCACTAACATCACTCACTAAGCACAAACATACTTTTAGACAGCGTTGCCAAAGCAACTAATCGTGAAACAGAGTCAAGATGATGTTTTAAAAATTGTAGTTCTGCCCCTGGCTAAAACCAAGAGAATGAAATAAAAGACAGGTACACTTCGTTTTATTGTGTGTATTTTAATATTTTATTGTGAATTAGGTGGTAGTTTACATGGGAGAACATTAACTTTACATTCATCCTATCGTATATCATTTCATTGCATGGTTACAATCCACTCCATGCATCATCAACCAACCAAAAGGTATACCCTGCAAGCCTGCCCCTGGTCGGCAGCACACAGCCCCTCTCCCTCTCTGGGTCTAAAGTCCCCAGCCACCCCATCTCTCCACATCTGCCTCC